AAACCCACCGCCTTTCGCGTCTCTCGCTCCCTCATCCCCCAGCTCCGCACCGCAACCCCCGATCTACCGCTTCGCGTCTGCCCCGTGACCCCGCACCGCGACCCCAAACCCACCTTTCGCGTCTCTCTCTCTCTCTCCCTCTCCCCCCAGCACCACAACCCCCGATCTACCGCTTCGCGTCTGCCCCGTGACCCCGCACCGCAAACCCACCGACTTTCGCGTCTCTTCTTGTGGCCCCATGGGTGACCAGATAGTAGCAAGTGTGAAAAATCAGGACGGGGTAAATAAGCCCTTATATAAGACAAAGCCCTGAATATCGGGACTGTCCCTATAAAATTGGGCCATCTGGTCACCCTAACAGCCTTGCATGCACCGTGACCCCCATCCCACTGCGCTTCGCCTGGACCCTGCAGTGCGATCCCGCAACGCACCAACCCACCTACGGTCCTGCACTCTGAGGAAATCCTGAAATCAACACCATTCTCTCCGGTGCTCATTTCTAATCTAACATCTGAGCCCACAACCCTCATTCAGTTGCCTAGCCCCATCCACCTCAGTGAACCAAGCATGTGAGTAAGAGCTGCACAATAAATATAGGCAAACCAGCACTTAGGGTACTACTTTCCAATAGCTCACATAGCACTCTTCAGCTAAGAACCTCTAGCAGGTTACAAGTGTTAGTTAAGTTTAGTTGGCCTCATTTAAGGCTGATTTTTTTCAAACATGGGCATTTGTATCAATGTATAGAACCATAATATGCATGGATCCACGAATGTATTTAGGAACCTAACTCCTATTGATTTCAATGCAAGTTACGCACCAAAATACCTTTGAGGATCTTGCCCATAGTCATGTTCATATGTAAGTCAAACAACTTTATAAACCAGTTTAACCACAACTGCTTTTAAAACATGTTTGAACGTGACTGAAAGACTTGGCTAAGCAGAAACATAGAGCTAGCCATTCCCCATTACTGCATTTAAAATTTAAATACGCCATTACAAATTTCAGGTACATGAGTGTGTGGGTTATTACTCCATTGTGGTCTGATCTGTTTATTGACTTTTTTTTTAGGTACTGAAGTTTGTGTAGCTTAGAACAGAAAATATCAAATACCCAAAGCTTTGTACATTATTATTTAGATTGTGGTAGCATCCAAAATAATGTGTTACACACTTCCCCAAACCAGAAAAAAACACAGTCCCTGCCTTAACATATATCCAGTCCAAGGACTCTGATCCTACGAGTTGTTCCATATTGACTCAGGGATCCACTCGTGTAGAACAACTTGCAGGATCACAACTAAAAAAGATAGACAAAGTGATACATCTTATAAGACTAAGCTCCAATCCTGCAATTAATGTTGCATGGCCCTTCCCCTTTGACTTTTTGATTTTGGAGCCCCTTTAACTTCACTGGGGCTAAATGAGTGCAAATGGCTCTGCCTATGCAGAAAATTGTAGGCTCAGGGCCCTAGTGAGCAGTGTTCACAACTGATTACAGTTTACTTCTTATCAACCCCTTCTCTTAAATGAGTAGTTCACTCATGAAATAAATAACTTGATGATTTAGCTAAGTTTACATGGCTTTGCAGAAGTCATGGGTCTTCTCATAACATAGGAATGAGGGGTCACCAAATGAAATTAATAGGCTACAGGTTTAAAACAAACAAAAGGAAGTATTTTTTCACACAACGCACGGTCAACCTGTGGTTGATGGTTGATGATTACCTGTTCTGTTCATTCCCTCTGAGGCAGCTGACATTGGCCACTGTTGGAAGACAGGATACTGGGCTAGACGGACCTTTGGTCGGACCCAGTATGGCCGTTCTTATGTTCAGGAATAATTTAAAAAAGAGAATGGTGGCTTTGTGGACAAGCCTGGGGAGGGCATTCCACGTATATGAGGCAATGTAAAAGAAAGTGAAGAGACTTGAGGGAGAAGCAGATAACCAGACATGAAGGTTAAAACTGATTTCTTCATAATATGAAGATGAGGAGATACTAAAGTACAAATAAAAAGAACGAGGTGTACTTGTGGCACCTTAGAGACTAACACATTTATTTGGGCATAAGCTTTCATGGGCTAAAACCCACTTCATCAGATGCATGCAGTGGAAAATACAGTAGGAAGATATATATATACAGAGAACATGAAAAAATGGGGGTTGCCATACCAACTCTAATGAGACTAATCAATTAAGGTGGGCTATTATCAGCAGGAGAAATTTGTTTTAATTAATTTGCAAACGGGACACCATTAAATTAGGCTTGAATAAAGACTGGGAGTGGATGGGTCATTGCACAAACTAAAAACTATTTCCCCATGCTAATTTTTCCCCTACTGTTACTCACACCTTCTTGTCAACTGTTTGAAATGGGCCATCCTGATTATCACTACAAAATTTTTTTTTCTCCTGCTGATAATAGCCCACCTTAATTGATTAGTCTCGTTAAGAGTTGGTATGGCAACCCCCATTTCTTCATGTTCTCTGTGTATATATATATTTATCTTCCTACTGTATTTTCCACTGCATGCATCTGATGAAGTGGGTTTTAGCCCACAAAAGCTTATGCCCAAATAAATTTGTTAGTCTCTAAGGTGCCACAAGTACTCCTCGTTCTTTTTGCTGATACAGACTAACATGGCCACCACTCTAAAGTACAAATGTACTTCTTCCTCTGGACCTCCTTGACCTTGACCAGACACATTAACCTACTAAATAAAGGTAATGTTGTATTAAGTTTGTTTTTATCTTTCTAAGCATCTAGATAGCTAGTGGTACATTTCTGATGGATTCATCACCTTAGTATTTAGGCATCCACCTCTTGGTCAACAGACCATCTATAGAATTTGTTGATCCATATAAAACTTTTCATACTTTTTTTTTTGGTAGAATTAACATGCTAAAATGAAGCAGAGGTTCTTCTGGATTCCAAGAAATGTGGGATAGTAGCTGACACTCCCCAACCCTCAGGGTTATGGGGCGTGTTGCCTCAGATTTATGAGATACTGGATCCTTCAAGGGAGGCAGCATTTTATGGAGTCTCTGTCATGACCTGCAATCCTTCTGCATATGTAACCCATTAGCAAGATGGAAACAACTACAGCCTGTATTGATATTTTGCTTTATACGTTGATTTTCCATCCAGTTTTAAAATACTAGTACAGGTATATGAATTGGAAAAGGGGGTGAACAGTGAGGTGGCAAAATTTGCAGATGACACAAAATTATTTTGTGATGTCCGATGAGGACTATGAGGAATGGTAGAAAGACCTAAAGAAGCTAGGTGAAAGGGCAACATGATGACAGATGAAATTAATGTTGATAAATGTAAAATAATGTACATTGGAGGGAAAAATTGGAACTACCCCTACACCTTAAAAGGGTTTAAATTAAATGGATCAGGTCAGGAAAAGGATCTGGGTATTGGTGTGGGCAGTTCAACAGAGATCTCTGGTCAATGTACAGCTGTGGTAAAAAATGCGAACAAAATGTTAGGATGTATAAGGAATGGGACGGAGAATGATACAGAAAATATTATAATGTCATTGTATAAACTAGTGCTTCACCCTCACCTGGAATACAATGTTCAGTACTGTTCACAGTACTCAGTGTTAACTCCATCTCAAAAAAGATACTGTAGAATTAGAGGGAGTGGAGAAACAAGCGATGAGCATGGGGTAAGGAAAAACTCTTTTATGATGAGAGATTGAAAAGATTGGTATAGTTTACTTTTGAGAAAAAGCAAGAGGCCTGTGATAAAAGTATGATAAAAGACTAACTTCTGTTGGTGAGGGAGACAAGCTTTTGAGCTTACACAGAGCTCAGGCTACCAAGGAAGAGCTCCGTGTAAGCTCAAAAGCTTGTCTCGCTTCACAACAGAAGTTAGTTTAATAAAAGATATAAGAGCTCTGTGTAGCTGGAAAGCCTGTCTCCTTCACCAACCAAAGTTGGTCCAATAAAAGATATTACCTCAGTCATCCACCTTGTCTTTCTAGTATTTTTCTATGATGTTATGATTATTTTTTTACTCACCCGGCGGCGGTCTGGGTCTTCGGCGGCACTTCAGCGGCGGGTCCTTCCCTCGCTCCGGGTCTTCAGCGGTGGGTCCTTCATTGCCCCGCTGCTTACCCCGACCCTGCCAGCGCCGGACTGGCTGGAGGCGAAGGGGGAGCGGGCGAAGTCAGCACTCACATGCATATAACACAGGTTGGTTTCATTTATACATGAAAGACCATAAAATTGCTTTACAATATTCCGGGTTTGCACATTTGCATGATTCTATGAAGTAGTCCCAAAACCAACTCAGATGTGAAAAGAATGACAACTCCCATGTGAAAAGAATGACAACTCCCACAATGCTCTGCTCCGGATACAGTAATACAAAACAACGCAGAGAACTAATGGCATGAAACACTAAGAACTAATCTCCCTGGTCATTCTATTACAGATTTAAAAGTCACTATCATTGAACAAAAAAACTTCAGAAACAGACTTCAAAGAGAAACAGCAGAACTAAAATTCATTTGCAAATTTAACACCATTAATCTGGGCTTGAATAGGGACTGGGAGTGGCTGGCTCATTACAGAAGCAGCTTTTCCTCTCCTGGAATTGACACCTCCTCATCTATTATTGGGAGTGGACTACATCCACCCTGATTGAATTGGCCCTGTCAACACTGGTTCTGCACTTGCGAAGTAACTCCCTGCTCTCCATGTGTCAGTATATAATGCCTGCATCTGTAACTTTCACTCTATGCATCTGAAGAAGTGGGTTTTTACCCACGAAAGCTTATGCCCAAATAAATCTGTCTTTAAGGTGCCACCAGACTCCTTGTTGTTTTTACTAAGAACTACAACTCCCATAATACCTTACGATAGTTAATACAAACCACATCCGCCCAGACCCACCAGAGAACTACATCTCCCAGCATACATTAGGTCAGCCGGCTCCCTATATAATGAGTTCCATCCGGGTTCTTTTCTTGCTGTTGGCGACTCGTCGCCATTACAGGGGAACAGCTACGGTCCGCGGTAGCTGTAGGAGCGGCGCCGAGGAGCCCGCGCTGCCTGGGCGGCGCCGACCACCCCCACCGCAGCCAGTGCCGGGCCCCGCGGGGCTCCCCGTCCCGTTGCCACCCCGCCCCCCCGGAGCCCCGCAGGCCCGGCCCGGCCTCCCCCGGCTCTCTCTGTTTAAGCGGAGCAGCGAGAAGATGTCGCCATGAAGGAGGCCGAGTCAGCGCTGCGCCGCCCCTGTCGGTCCCCTTCGCGGGCCATGAGCCTGGGCCCCCGTCGCCTCCCCGAGCGCCCGTCCTACCCCCCAGCTCAGAGCCGCTGCCGTCCACTCACCAGCGCCGTCGGGGCGCCCGTTGATGCTGCAGAGCTCGCCCAGCGCGGCCCCCGCCTCAGCCTCCGACATGGACAAGAGCAGCCCCTGCGGCTCCGGGATCCCCGGCTCCTCGGCCGGCAGCAAAGGGCAGCAGACCCGCTCCGCCTCGGCCGGGCCGGCCGCGGGGGAATCTAAGCCCAAAGGCGGTAAGAGACGGGCCCGGGGGGAAGGGGCGCTGGGGTAATATCGTAGCTGAGTCTCCAGCCAGGGAGCTGGCAGGTGTTTCGCACTAAGAGGGACGGGGCAGGGGTGGGATGGGTCGAGTCTCCCGGCTGTGTAACATCCAGGCTTCTGGGAAATGTTAACATCACCCACAGGAAGTCGGCGTGGGGCAGTGGTACTAAGTGTCCAAGGGGTTGGTCCGAAGCCCAGGTGGTATTGATCCACTGTTATTACCCTCTGACAGGATACAGGGATACTGTGAAATGAGTTGGCGAACGTGCTAGTTTCCAGCCCTTAACATACTGGGCATCTCTGGTAGTTTTGGAGAGGCCAGTAATTGTATGCCTGGCATGCATTGCCACTGTATTATCGAGTGGAGCTTGGAAACTTGACGACCATCCCTTCCTTGTAGGTGTTCTTTAGGTCAGCACTGAGACACACTTGAGGGAGGGGGGAGGATGTCTAAGGAAACTTTCTTGCTCACATCCATTTGTGCAGTACAGGAAGGGACCGTCACTTTGCCCATGCTATCGCTGGAGCCTCTTGTAAGCACTAAGCTCACTACTGATGTTAAAAAACAAAGCAAACATTCTATCAGTTTCTGGCCTTCCTATATCCTGCTCAGCTTAAGCTTTCAGCAGCACTATTACCTCCTGAGTAAGGATCATAGAAGCTCAGGGTTGGAAGGGACCTCAGGAGGTATCTAGTCCAACCCCCTGCTCAAAGCAGCACCAATCCCCAGGTAGATTTTTGCCCCAGATCCCTAAATGGCCCCCTCAAGGATTGAGCTTTCAACCCTGGGTTTAGAAGGCCAATGCTCAAACCACTGAGCTATCCCCTTTGTGTTAAGAGTGTGGTGTATGTCAAGGTGATGTGACCTGAAGTGGAACTCTGTCTTTTGAATGGTGGCTTCCTTCCTAGAATATCTAAGCAAATTACAACTTGACCCTCCTCGAGGCAGGGGCAATATCTTAACTACAGATGGAAAGGTTGGGACTTGCCCAAAACTAAATATTGGAAAGCTTTGTTCCAAGTTCTTCCAAAATCCAGGAATAATAAATCCTCATCCCTTGCTCTAATTACAAGATGAGTGGTGTCAAACTTGCTTGGTGGAGAGGGCTGAATTCCACTCATGTTTAATGGGACAGGGTATAAATCTAGAATTACTTACATTACTCAGTCCACAACAGACTGCTTACTTTTGGTAGGAGGCTTATACTAGGATCAAAATTAGAAGTGAAAATTGAACATTTCGTTATCACTATTACCTATTCAGTACCACTTGGGAGAATATGCTTATCATTAGGACTATTATTATTTCCGCCCTTTCGTTTTTCTCCATTCTTTTTGTTTCTTTCCCTCTTCCCTGTTTGTGTTCTGTCTTTCCCTCAGGTTCCCTTAACTGCAGCAACTCCTAGTTCTCTCTTCCAAGGGGGAACATTTCCACTCTTTTCCCCATTTTACTGCTCATCTTTTTACAAGTGAAGTAACCTTGTAACCGCTTTAGAGCCATTGTTTCAGGCTGCCTGCAGACTTTGGGAAGACAACCCTTATTAGCTTAAACTTGGATCACATTTTTAAGGCTTTCTTTGCAACCATGAGTACTAAAAACTCTTAAAATGAATGTTTTCTGCATAGTTTGTCATGGAGGCCATAAAGATACATCAGGGAGGCTGGATCAGTCTTGCAGCTGTATGTTTGACACACTTGCACTCTAGTATTAAAGGGATCTTGTATGAACTATAGTAGTTAAATATAGCATTTCAGTTTAGACTCTTATTGCACATCGCTTCTCTCACTAACAGTTTATAAACTATCTTGTGTATCACTTATACCATTGCACTACATTATTTTAAGCTACAGGTCTGATTGTCAGAAGTGCTTAGCAGTAGCAGTTCCATCCCGAGGCAGTTGGAGTTCCTGGAGCTTGACACTCTTGACAGTTTGGTCCTAACTGTTTCTAAGTATTGAAATTTGCAACAATACTTGATATTGCTGGATCCTTTGACACAGAACTATGCACAATACAGTCTAACTGGAATGGTGCTGGGATGGCTTGTACTCAATTTCCTTCCTCTTGGGTGGTTTGATGTCTCAATTGTATTCTAAAAGAGTGTGTTGGCATAATGGCAATGTATACCTTGGTGCGTTTACCAGTGAAATGAAATAAGCTTCAAAGAGTAGCCATAGGCCGTTGAAATAATGAAATAAGTGGCTCTAACTCTTGAGGTGTTAACTTCTCCCCAAATGTCAAATTGAAGGGCTGGCAATACATGACATACTTGATCTGGATCTCTCACAGAAGCAACTGGAGTGTGTGACAGATTCTTTTTAGGCTGTACCATAACTGACATTATTAATTTTAACTTTAAACCTGTTTTTTAAAGATGTTTTGTCATTGTGAGTCTCATACATGGGTTCTTTTTTAAAGAAAACCAAGTTCTACTAAGATCCCTTCATGAGTCAATAGCTGGGTTTGAAGCTGGGCCCTTTAGACTCCCTGCACAGACCTCTACCACTTGAGATAAAGGAATAAATGTTATCCTCAGTGGGCCAGCTACTAGAAGGGAGGAAGGAGAGGATACCAAACAGTTCTGGGATTCTGGCCATGTAGGGGGATGGGGAACAGGGTGGCTTATTAGACAGAATAGCCAAGTACAGTACATACATTTTGGTACATTTATTCTGAAAGGCACTGTGGCTGAATGGATGAAATGTGGGTCTGTCATTGAAGAACTAGATTCCATTCTAGTTCTGCCAAAAATGCTCTTGTAAAACCCTTTTTATTTGTAAAATGGGGCACAGTGGTGATACTTGCCTGCTTCCTATGGTAGGGATATGGTGCTTTGCTCAATGACAGTCCAGAGAAATATAAACAGCCATGGATGGGAACTCACGGTTTTCTGATACCCTTTAGCCTAGAAAGGTGCACTGGTCAGGGAATCTGAAGTGGAAGTTTCTTGTTTCTCCCATCCCCCAGCAGAACATCCACCAACTTGGCAGTGCTGCAGAAGAGGGAGGCTAATGTAACTGCAGATCATATGTTAGAATCTGGGACTCTGGAGAGGACTGAGTGAAGAATTAAGTCATAGGCCTAGCTTTTACAAGAAGCAGTAAGGAAGCAACAGAGCCTCAAAGATTCCTGCTTCATATCAAAAGTATGAAATATAGGCCATATACTAATACAAAGAGAATATACCAAGGGCTGTTTTTATGTCTACATGTTTCACACTTAGTTTTCTAAGCTGTTTCCTAAATAACTGCAAAGTGGAAAAATTGGGGGCTGTACCTTTTTTGAGGTATAAAGGTCGCCTGAAAGGATTTCTTCATTAACATTCACTTTTTTTCTTTTTCTTTTTTTTTTTTTTTTATGCTTGTAATTCAGGTGTAGGCTGGAATACTCAGACTGGAGAGCTAATGTCAGTTGTATTGCAAGAGCTGTAAACAGAGCGTTTTAATTGGATTGTTTTAAAAATTGTGTTAATGCGTGACTTAAAAGACTTAGTATTTATTTATTCAAAATGTTAACTTCTGAATCTTGTATAATGTCTGAATGTATATCCACTCAGGTACCATTCTAATGCCTCAAAGGTATTGATACAATAGAGTGAGTAATGATCAACTTGTTCTCTTGCTTGCTTTTGTATATAGCTGTAAGTCAGCAAATAGCTCTGAGATTCTCTCTGAAACTGGAGGGATACCAAGTAGGTGCATTTGAGAATTAAGTGATTTAGGGGCTTAGATCCCATTGACTTTCAGTGGAAATTAAGCTCTTAAGTCATCTAGGCACTTCTGAAAATGTCACTTGCTGTGAACAGTTGAGAAACTGGAATAGAGACTGGTGAAATAGAGTTATCACAACTTCTGACTTGTGGATAAGGCACCTTGTGCTCCCGTTCAGGGTGCGCCTTGAAACAGTTTATAGAATTGCAATGTTCTAAATGTGAATTCAGCCTTTGAAAATGTAAACACAATGCTCCCTTGTCTGAGGGGCCCCTTCCTCTTGCAATTAAAGGTAAGAAAAAGTTGAAATAAGATAACTATTAGAGATGAGCCCTGCTTCATTAAAATGAGCTGGTCCTGGATTAACAGTTCTAGAGAAGATTAATGCTTTCAAAAGTATTCATCATTAGACTGGAACAAACAGCAGGGCCCCTGAAGTGAGGATGTTTGGCAACCAGTAGCGAAGGCCTGTTGGGAAATGATTGTATGTACATGCTTTAAAAACAACTTAAGTCATTAAAATCATTTTTTGGGAAGTGGAGGTAGGGACAGGAACTGAAAGCTTTTTCTAGGCCAAAGAATAAAATTCTGAATTAATTTTGGCCTAAATACAGAAGACAGCTGGATAAGTACCTTTGGTAGGAGAGGTCACCAGAGGCAGTTCATAGTAACCTGAAATCCATAACTGAGGCATATCAGAGAAGAAAGATGATAGTGGCCAGTAGAAGCTCTTTTTCTGACATGCTGCCTGCCAAAACAATCAGAAGGAAGAAAAGCCCTTTTCCTGTAGTTGTAGGGAAATAGGCAATCCTATCTAAGATGAGCTTTTGCAGCAAGACTAGACATTCATAGTGTTTCTCTGGCTTTACATCTGACTCTTCTCTCATTTCAATCTTGTTTTACTACAACCCTGGAGGTTCTTAGACTTCTTGGGAATTTTCATGCAGACCATTCTGAAGAGGGGAAATTGCCTTCAACCAGTAAAGTTGTGAAGAAAAGGTGTCTGGAGTCTATACCACTCTGGATTCTTGGTCAAAAGGGACAGACTAGAGATTCTTTGACCATAAAGTGTGATGCAGTAAAGTCGTCATTATAATGATGAAAGGGAAACTCCTAAAAGCCATTGAGTCAGGTTGAAGGGTTGTAATGTGATAGGAATGTTCTGGTAAGAGTTGACTGACAATTTAATGTTCATAATGGCTGTAATTTTGTGTTAGCTGTACTAAGGTGGGAAATTTCCTTGCTGTCAACTGCAGGGGAAGATTGCCACACCTGACAAGAAGTAATCTGACCCAGTTTAAAAAGAGTGAGGCTATGCAGTTAGCTTGACCCCCTTGTTTGCAGATACATTTTTCTGTCCCCTTGTGCTTATGGGTTGGAAAAAAATCAAAGTTGCTGTGGCCTGGGAGGTCTGTCTGTCTAGAATATGCACTGTGATTGTAGATGTAAGAAGGCTGTTCAGTGATGGACTTCAGTTCTATTGGCTTTTCCATATAGACATTCTTAAAGTTAATTTATGAAAATGGCTAATCCAATAGCCATTCCTTGTCTTTGGAATGAATTTTAATTCTACCAGAGACGATAGCCTAGTCTCAGTGGTGTAAATTACAGCTTCTTCTCTACACTCGGTCTGTCCAAATCACCATAGTCCAGGCCTGGCTACACCCTGAATATTTAGCTGCAACTGGTGTGCTTCTCAAGATAAAACACTGCCCCTAAGGTGTCAGGCTGACTTGCAGTCTCTCCCATGTGCACTGTAACTGCTGCACAATTCAAAGACATGCTTTGATACCAATAGTAGGAACTGTTTGAGTTCTCAATAATTCTGAATTTGGCTCTGCCATTAGGCCAAGTACATCACCACTTTTGCCAGTAAATAATGGCAGAGTGGTTGCATAATGCCTCTTGAAAGCTTCCCTGTCACTTCTTAACTAATGACTAATAAATCACTGCCCTTCTATTTCTCTATGTAATCTGAAAGGTGTTTGGCTTTAGTCTTAATTTTGAAGATCTTCTGCTGCACGATTATCACTCTTTGGAAATCACAGGCACATCTAACAAGTAAAATTCAGAATTGCATGGGGTTTTAGCTGTGACTCCACTGAAAGCTGAACTGATACAGTAGGCCTCTTAAACTAGTTTTTCTCCCACAACTCTAAAATGTGGTGGCCACACATTTCCATCTCTGTGCATTTCCTTTCTACTAAGAGGTGAAAGCTTTAATTGGTCTTAAGATACATTTGCATTTTTTTAATGTATGTTGTATTTTTAAAAGCATCTGGATGCTCTGACATGAAGAGGTATGCACAGCCCTTCTTACTGTTCCCTGAACACACTTTTTGGGGGGGGTTCAGGAGGGAGAAATGAAATTTTTGTAGTGAAAAGTGTGGAGAATCAACATGAATGAGATCATTTGGTTACTATAAATGTGCAGTTGGGTTGCTCCTGATGCCTGTCGCTCAGGAGTAATAGTGGAAGATAGTTACCAAGGTTAGTGGAACAGTAATTAATATGATCTTAAAATAGGGAAGGAGGGAACCTGTCAGCTGTAAAAGACTTGTGCAGATGAAAAAGGGGCAGAAGCCTGCTACTTCCCAATATGTGGATCTAGATGCAACTGATGTTCTAGTGCTGCTATTGTGAGGCATTAGATTTGATAAGTCACAATGGACCTGATGCAATGCTAATAACTATTTCTGAGAGGGAAGGGTGTATTGGCATATCTGTGGGCTGAGGACATTGAAAATTAAGCTCTAATTTTATTCTACTGTTTCAGGAAACAAATGTATCTAGTGGCATTACCAGGTTAATACACAGGGAAATGGATTACCATGTTTGGACTCAACCTGACTTTACATTTAGGAACTTATTGGAACTTTAGAGGGAAGTGTTTTCTAATCTTATGGAAAGATCCTCTGTAATAGTTTAGGAAGCATTAGCAACTCTTGTACACCTTTAGAATACCCAACTAACGTCTGACTGCTCTTCCATTCTTGTGAGCTTTAGAATTTAAAGCCACCACTTTGTGCTTGCTGCTAGTGCTTTCTGTGTTAAAATCCCAACAGTGTGCTCAGCACTCTCACCAGGCAAACAATCCCTGCCTCCAGAATTTGGGGATTTGCTGACTAAAACACGGATTAGATAAATCCACTGGGAGACCAAAGGTGGTAGTGGTATGTTGAGGTAGATGGGCATTGTGGAAGAAGTGGGTTTTTAAGAAGAGCCTGATGCATTGTACTGCCCTAAGCATAGGGCTTAGGATGAAAGAAGGCACGCAGGAGAAAAGGAAATAAAGATAATAGTGGTTAAAAAGAGACGTCCACATAATAGAGCAATGTGGGAGATCTAGAGACAGACAAATGCAGGCAGGGTGGTATCTTTACACATTCTAGACATGAAAACTCATGTAATCAACTAAGGGCATGTCTACAATACAGAATTGTCAACTGAAGTTACGTCGGCATACAGCTGCTGCAGTAATTAAATTGCTTTTTGTGTCCACACTACGCTTCTTGTGTTGGCAGTGCAAGTCCTCACGAGGAGCCCTTGTACCAACTGTACTGTCAGTGCAGGGCATTGGGAGACGGCTTCTGAAAGCCAGTAACAGTTGATGTAAGCATCGCAGTGTCTCTGCTGATGCTGTGTTGACCTAACTACGTTGACATTGATTCTACGCCTCTCATGGAGGTGGAGTTAAGTCAGCATAGCGGGGCAGTTACATTGACAGGAGCAAAATTTTAGTGTAGACACTGACAAGTTTAGGTTGATGTAAGCTGCCTTGCATTGACCTAACTCTGTAGCAGAGATCAGGCCTATCTGTTCCTAGAATAAAGAACTAACTGATGGCTATTGAGTGTTTTGGAAAAACACCAGAAGCTAGAAAATTCTATCTTGATTACTCAGTGTAAAATTGTTCTAATTAAACACACCCTGCTAGTGGCTGTTCCTGGTTCTGGCCTGAAACTAGTTTGTGAATGAATTGAGTGTAGTGTAATACTATCCTTAGTTCAGCTACATACCTGCCTTATGTCTCTGGTCCTTTGCTTGGTATAAGCTCTAAGTAGTGGTGGATTTTGGTGTAAGTTTCAGTAAATGCTGATTAAGGAGCTGATTCTGCATAGAAACTATCCATGGTAGGAAGAATCCAGACAATAGAAGCAACTTAGCTGCATTTTATTTCAAGGCAGCTAAGAAGTCTCTTCCTTTATTGGCTGCATAGGTTCCTGGATACTAATGTGCCTGAAAAGTACTTTGCTGTGGGTTTGGTGGTATAGTTAGAGAAGCCTTGGAGCTCTGGATAAGAGTCAGTATTGTCTTGCTGTAGACAGGTATAAAAATGATCCAGGCCAAATGCGGTCCTGTCTTAAAGGCATGAATTACTTGACAGCCACTAGAAAAGCAGTGGAAGTATCTCGCTGAGCTTGTGAGTCTGACTTGTTTTCATTTTGTTTTGTTTTTTTTTCAGATGGAAAGAATGCAAGTGGATCCAAACAACGTTACAATCGTAAAAGAGAAACTTCATATTCAAAAAATGAGAACTTTTCCAGCCAGTCCCGTCGCTCCAATTCACAGAAAAGCAAAGCTTTTAACAAGATGCCCCCTCAGAGAGGGGGCACTGGGGGAAGTGGCAAACTTTTTAGCTCTTGTAATGGTGGAAGACGTGATGAGGTGAGAATTGTAATGCCATGTCTGCAAGGCCTCTTTTTATGGGCCGAGAGGATCACTCTGACTTGCTAGTTAGGTCTCCTGTGTTCCCTTTCTGGGCTAGGAAGGGCAAGAACCTTGAGGTGGTAACATCGCTGAGACGCCAGATTGAGTGAGATCAGAACAACTTTGCAACATCTCAGAAGAGGATGCTCTTTGGTCTGAGACTCGTTCAATAACAAGACCAGTGAAACTAACAGAAGTACAGTCTGAGGAATGGGTGTATAGATATTGTGAAACACAGGTCCTTCATGAAAATGATCTTAGTAATACAGTTTTCAGTTCCTAAATCTGTGACGTATTTATGTCCAACCACTTGTGTATTCTGAATCCCACGTTATGAAATATTTAGCAAAGTAATCTGACTACGCCTCACTAGATCACATCAAGGCTAAAGGCAGATCAGGAATCCTTTCATGCTGATGTATACTATGGGTGGTCTGCCTCCCCCCACTTGGCATATATAACCATGTTACACCCATTATTTTTTTTAAATTAGCAATTTAATCTACAAATATCACGTATTCAATTACTATATTTTCTGAGTTCTAATTAAGTCCACTTCAACTATATGGAAACTAATCTAAAATCATGAAATCTCTGGAATGATCCTAAAGCTTGCAATACTGGCTCTTTAAAGGGATATTGTCATTTTAAAAATAGCTTTTGTTACCCATGTCGCTAATCCTAAACAACTAGTTTTAAAAATAAAGCTTTCACTTTCACTACATAGGCTGCTTTTACACTTCCATTTGTACAAATGGAAAAAGATTACTCAATCTTAACTTTCAAGTTCCTTTGCATTTCTAATGCTGCAGTATTAGATCTTCAGGCCTGGAGTGGGAGAAGGTGAGTAGGTAGGGGTAGTGCATTTCCCTGTATATCATTGAAGGGAATGGATCTGTGTTTGTGCTGATAGGTTGCAGTGTACCAGCTTCCAGAAAATTCTAACCAGATCTGTGTCTTGTTTGTTTGTGGGTTTTTTGTTTTTTAGGTAGCAGAGGTTCAACGGGCAGAGTTCAGCCCTGCCCAGTTCTCTGGTCCAAAGAAGATTAGTCTGAACCACTTATTGAACTTCACCTTTGAACCCCGTGGCCAAGCAGGTCACTTTGATGGGAATGGACACGGCAACTGGGGGAAAAGGAACAAGTGGGGACACAAACCCTTCAACAAAGAGCTCTTCCTACAGGCCAAGTGAGTGGAAGATCAGCAGGGCTCCTAGACATTCATATGAATGAGCTTTAAGGGAATGTGTATTCACTCTTTAGGTGACTGAGTCAGGGAATTATGTATTTAATTATACTGAATGTTTGTTGTGGTGGTGGTTCTTCCTTCCCCCCCCCCCTCCCCCCCTTGTATTGGTTACTGAAGTTCTGCTCCACTGGTTCTGTCTCCACAGTATTGGTGCAAGGGTTACCTTGTGTGTATACAGAAGGGTGAAATATGTTCTTTTCCTGATTTATAAAAGGAGATATTGGTATCTGAGAGAAAACAAAGGAAATGCAGTTAAAGGGACTGAGTGTGAAGGATGGAAAGGGTAACACACCCTTCTGCCCAAATACTCAAGCACCACCTGTAAAATTTAATATACCCTGTTGGGTCCGGGAAGACCTGTGGTCCCTTTAACACTTAAGTAGTTCATATTTCCTTTCTAACTCAAGTAATGCAGTGTAAACAAAACAAACTTAATCCATCTTAGTACAATGAGATGTTAAAACTTGCTTCTTTTGGGATCAAAGCAAGTCTCAGTTTTTAAGTCCTCATGTGCAGAAGTCTTCGTTTTTAAACAGATACATTGTAATAGTTACTCTTTCTTTAAAGGTGACTCGAATAATTTTAACTTGTGTAGAAATATGTACTGAATGCATCAATAATCAAGGTAGTCAGTCAGTTTAGCAGATGAACTCTTCTTCTTTTTTTTTTTTTTTTTTTTTTTTTTCCCCCCCCCAATTTAATGTTTTAATGGCTTTATCTCTAATTTGGGGCAGGTTCAACATTTTCTGTATCTGATCACCACCTTTAAGACCATGAAAAGTACTGCTAAAATTGCAGTCATTGGCATTTTTGTATACTATGGTAAAATGTGAATATACTTTATTTGTATAGAGACTTATTATAGCACTTGTCTGAATAGTATGTGATTTTCCTGCCTTGTGTTCTGCCTATTTCAATAGCTTCCTTTATAGAAAGCTGTTTCCTCTGCATAAGTTCCCTTTCGTTTAGTCTGTACTCAGACAAGAACTCCAGGCAGGATGGCCAAACTGCAGGGAGAAGAACTGTGTCCAAAGACGTTAGCCCTGTTAGGTTCACTAATGGTAACTGCTGGCCATGGTCAGCCTAGATGCCAAGTCTTTTCACATACCCAGCATGTGGCTGTGCTAGGCATTCTTGGGTACTGTCTTTAAAGACAGGACTGACTTGGTCTCTTGAGGATCTTAATGCAAAGGCCACTTCTACTATCACCTGGACAGTTGGAATAGGTGACTTATCAATTATGATGCCTTTGTGTCTTCCATCCAGCTGCCAGTTTGTGGTGTCTGAGGAACAGGACTACACAGTGAACTTTGCTGACCCAGATACCTTGGTCAACTGGGACTTTGTGGAGCAAGTGGTCAGTAGTGATGGGATGGGTTTTTAAAACTTATTTCTCTTCATCTACCTATCTAATATTAAAAAAAAGTGCCTACCTGTTGCTCTAGTTGCATTTGACATAATGTGAATTTAGTTGCCATCAAGTCTCATTCCTTTCAGTATTGCATGAGTGACAAAAGAGAATCTGATAGGGAATTACTTTTGAAAGACTCTGTACGTGACAGGAGCTTAAGACTGCCAAAGACTATTATGAGGAAGAAGATATCTTCCTCCATGCTTTTATAGATGGAAGTTGATTAGGAATATTAAGTGTGTTTCGAACACTTTTTTTCCCCCCCCATAGTATTATGCAGAAATGTGGTCAGCCTTCTGACAAGGTCACAGGGATGGAGTTGATGGAATTGTGCTGTGTAGAATGCTTTTACAGACTCTTATCCTGTGCATGGGCAAACGTCTTTTGCCTCACAACAAAAATCTGTAGCTACTTGAAGCACCCCAGGATTCCAACCAGATCTAGAAAATAGCGTGCGCGCTCGCTCGCGCGCTCTCTCTCTCTCTCTCTCTCTCTCTCTCTCGATACTCTTAGTCTATGATGCAGCGCATGCATTTGGGAGGGAGCATGTTTACTGTTATCCTGAGCTTGATGCTTCTTTGGAAACTCATGCATGTATACACTTCCCCCAATAGTCTTAAACAGACTACATATACATTACATAAGACGCATCTGTCTACTCTTCTAATATAATTTGTTTAGAAATTTAGGACCTATCGATTTTCTTTAATTGGGGAGATGCAGAGATGTTTAGTTGTGTAATTAGGTTGTAAAGTCAATAAGGTGACGCCAAGAAGTCCACTGCTGCCTGCAAGATTAATTGCTTTCAGAAGACAATGCTAGTAATCCTGGAGTTGGGGGTCAGTGAACACATGAAAAGGGAAACTAATCTATGATACCAAGCCTTGTACATTGAAGAGTCTGACAACAATACCCTGTAGATGGCTCTACCGACTACCCTATGCACATTTAGCAGGAACAATGTTTTTAAAACCATATGATCAATTTCTTGGTGACTGAAGGAATCTACCATCCCTGCTTTCTTGGAAAGGTTCCAGTCTGTCTTGTCTCTTTCTCTAGAGGGCAAAAATATTTGGCCGACTTTGCAACAAGTTCCTGAACAGATATCTCAATTTATAATCTCTAGCTTTAGTAACTTATTTGTGTTATGCTTCTCTTATGGCCATCCAGCGAATTTGTAGCCATGAAGTGCCCTCCTGCCCAATATGCCTGTATCCACCTACTGCAGCCAAGATCACCCGTTGTGGGCATATCTTCTGCTGGGCATGCATTCTGCACTATCTCTCCCTGAGTGAGAAAACCTGGAGCAAATGTCCCATCTGTTATGGGTCTATTCACAAGAAGGATCTCAAGAGGTAAGACTTGCAGGCAATTCAAATCCCTTCATCTTTCTGTAAAGTTAATTCTTGCTACTTAGGCTATTCCTGTGTTGCAGTGTTGTTGCTATGGAAACACGCCAGTATGCAATTGGTGACACCATTACAATGCAGCTAATGAGAAGGGAGAAAAGTGTTTTGGTAGCATTGCCCAAATCCAAGTGGATGAATGTAGAGCACCCCATTCATCTTGGAGGTGAGTACTCGTGAAGACTCTCCTGGAACGTTGGCTGCATGTATGACTAAAACTTGGATGTGGAAGCTGGTTGCTATGGGGAAACCTCACTCTAGGTGCATTTATATTGGGCCGATTACAAGACATTGCTTTCAAATACCGATCAAGTTAACTACCACCTCTTAAATGACTAACATGCAGTGTCCTACTCCATAACTCCCTTCCATAAGTTTGCATCATACATACTACTTTAGTTTCTGTGCTGCAACGCCCTGCCATCCCAGAATAATTTACAGAACAAGCCAACATTCAGTAATTCATAACTATTAGTGTATCACTGCAGAGCTCACTTCCTTTTGTTGGTCTCCATCTTTGTTCCCTGTGTGTGTTTGTTTTTGTTCTCCCCTTTCCTCCAGCCCTTGGCTCAGCAGCAGAGTGAATTATTTTAGATTTGACTTATTCTGTAGTTCAGGGGTAGGCAACCTATGGCACACGTGCCGAAGGCGGCACGCGAGCTGATTTTCAGCGGCACTCACACTGCCCGGGTCCTGGCCACTGGTCAGGGGGGCTCTGCATTTTAATTTAACTTTAAATGAAGCTTCTTAAACATTTTAAAAACCTTATTTACTTTACATACAACAGTAGTTTAGTTATATATTATAGACTTGGAGAACTTCTAAAAAACGTTAAAATGTATTACTGGCACGTGAAACCTTAATTTCGAGTGAATAAATGAAGACTTGGCACACCACTTCTTCTGAAAGGTTGCCGACCCCTGCTGTAGTTTATGCTAGATAATTTCAGAGATGCTGTGTGTAGCAACAGCATATGCATGCTTCTACCAGTGGAATCTCCTAGTGGGGAAAATGGGAAAACTATTACCTATCTGGGGCTTGATCATAAAATATTAGGGTTGGAAGGGACCTCAGGAGGTCATCTAGTCCAACCCCCTGCTCAAAGCAGGACCAATCCTCAGACAGATTTTTGCCCCAGATCCCTAAATGGCCCCCTCAAGGATTGAACTCACAACCCTGGGTTTAGCAGGCCAATGCTCAAACCACTGAGCTATCCCTCCCCTCCCTGAGCTGTTCCATATACCTCATAATTTTTGTCTTCCCTTCTCTGTAACTTTTCCAATTTGTAGTTATTTAGACAGTGTCATACATTTAATTGCCAAAATTAGGTTATTCCATCATACCATCCCCTCCATACATTTAAAGCACTCTTGTATCATTGTCGTATCCATCTTGTGTGACTGGTGACAAGGTTCTTCATATTATCACTGCTGCTTTATGGGTTATTTTCACCTGTGGTCTTTCAACCAATCCTATAAGGGAGGAAATAGTTTAAACTTAGTTCTAAAGGTCAGTGTCTCCCAATCTAGGATCCTGGAGCATAGAACTCCTTTCAGATGTTTGCCTTGGATATTTAGAAAGTTAAGATTGAGTGTGCATCAGTAACTTTAGGTAAAAAACAAAACATACAGCACTACAGGATATTGTAAGTCTTGGTGTCAGGATAACTGCAAACGCAGAAAATTTCAGCATTAAGCTTGCACTTAAAAGAAAGCCAAATATGGCAAGATATGCAAAATGCACAGACAAGATTCTCTCTTCCTCCTCCCCCCCCCTCCCCCCTTAATTTTGCCCTGTAGTGACACTATGAAATTGGGGTGAGGATTGGATTTGGAGGAATGAAGATATCTACTGTCCTTCTAAAAGTTTGTTTCTAATCTGGGATTTCAAACACTGAAATTGCTTTTATTAACTTGGGGCAGAGAGCAAAAGGAATGTTTTTGTCACTGTTTAAACTTTTAGTTTAATACCAAACTGAGATTGAGTTCCCCACCCTCAGAATGAGAGCCAGCATCCTCTGAGGTCCTCCATCAAAATGAGGGAAGACCAGACTTGCCATTCCTGATGCTGCTAGGGGGTTAAGGCAGGAAATACCTTCTAGGCACTGCTTATTTCATAGAGACCAAAGCCCATTTTATTTATTTATTTTTTTTTTTTAAAAAAAAAACCCTTTTGTGGGTTCTTTAAATGTGCAGCGTGATTGTTTGATGTGACCAAGTCACTAAAACAAATATCTAGTGCAGAAATTCTTGTTGAATGTTTATGGAGACTTAACTTCATAACTTGCTATTGGGATTTATGATAAACTGATCTATCATAGTAACTTCTCGTCAACAACATTGCTTATGTGCAGATCTAGTTTTCCTAGTAGATTTGCCCACAATGAGAGAGTAGATGAGATTTTAATAGGAATGGCAGAGTTGAAATTGGAGCTTGCTGCACATTGGGTGTCTACAAAGGATGTCTTATTGATATTCTTTCCCTGGCCAGATGAGCAGCACAGCCAATTCTCTAAGCTGCTGCTCGCATCCAGGGAGCAGGTGCTGCAGTGGGTGATCTTGGAAGAGAAAACCGCATTACTACGACAGTACGAGGAGGAAAAGAACACCCCTGAAGCTTGCTTTATTGAGGCAGCTATCCAGGAACTGAAGGTGAGGACCCCCAGTTGTGGTGGATGTTAATGGTTACTTGATGCTGATAACATTTTTAATGGAGGCCAAGTATCCACAGTGGGTTTGGTTTGGGGGGGGGGGGGGGGAGTGAGATAAGAATCCTTTAAGTATCTCAATATAGAGATTATTTTTGGAAATGTGTGATGATTCAGTATCTGCAGTAGTAATGAAAGAAAATAGTTTAAAATCTCAAATATTCTTCCTTTGGGGCATAGAATACTGGCAAGGTAGCTCGATATTAAGGACAGCACCTGATCAAAAGCAGCAATATAAACACTGAAAGGGAATAAGAACTACATGCACCCCAATCACTGACTGAACTCTGGCACCTGGAATGCCACCAACCTCTGAATAGTGTCTTAACTGCAGAGGTAGTTGTGGAAGCTTACTGTTGGTGAAGCCAGGCTCTCCTTGTGTCAGGAATAGCTAATTCTTGGGATAATGATTCTTTAACCAAACCTGCAGGCAGTTGCTTGTTTCAAAGCCAGTATGTGGCAGATAGCCTGCAGAGTTTATTTCTAAGTATGCTGGTGTCTCCCTCTATTTTAGAAATGGCCACTGGGTGAGGGAGAATCTTGATCTGTGGCAGTCTGAGACACGAAGGGAGGGAATACTGACGTTTATCGTCTGTCTCCTGGAATAAATAAACTGAAATGTGTTCTTTTTGGGGTGGCCTGTAGCATCGAGAGAGGACTCTAACTTCATTGGACCAGAGTAGTAATAGCGACGTCGCAGGAGCCACAGCAGCTGTAGAAGAATTGGTCCTGATGGAACCTTCTGTGGCCAGGGAGCCTGCAGCTTCCCAGGAGAAAAAGGTGGGTTTTTGGTCCCCTTTTTCTCCCCCAGGACCAGCACAGTTAGGATCTAACTCCACTTCCTCACTCTAGTGTAAGGTGAGCAGGCACTGAGGATATCTACCCTTCTCAGAGCATTTGTGTACCAGAGATTATAGTTGGATACTGACTCTACACTGTTTGTTCTATAGCAGTGTGTTCTGGAATATCTTTCTGCATTTGATGAAGAGATGGTGGAAGCCCGCTCCAATTCTAGAAGCTCCTTTCCTCTTCCCCTGGAAGTAGAAGAGAAGGAGGAGGTAGCTGAGGTGGACACTGAGGCAGTACCAGATGTGAATGCTACAAAAGAAACGAATCCATCAGAAAGTAACTACCAGGAATCTAAAGTTACAGCCAACAGTGGACGTTTGAGCAACTCTCCTTTTTACTATTTCTATCAAGGTTAGTGGAATGGAGTCTGTTTCTGGAGGGGAGAGGTAAATGTTCCCCCCCCCCCCCAAAAAAAAAGTGCCCCGGAGGAGGCATTTGTAGCGTGTTAATTAACCCCTATGAAACAAACTTCTTCACAGAGTCTAAACTTTCTTACCATTAACGTTTGACACTTTGTGGGGAGGGGGATGGCTTTGAGAAATCAGTAGTTCCAGGGGAGTTAAGGGTGAGTGGGAAGTAGAGAAGTGACAAGTGAATTTCTTCCCTTGTAGCGGAGGATGGACAGTGTATGTATCTTCACCCTGTGAATGTTCGCTGTCTTGTTCGTGAGTATGGCAGCCTGGAGAACAGTCCAGAGAAGCTCACTGCAGCTGTGGTGGAGATAACTGGCTACTCTATGACAGAGGTAATTGCTGTAGCTTTCCCTTGTGTTTATCAATCGTGACCTTTTTCTTAGGGAGGGCAGTTGAGAGCTGATGGTGGGTAAGATACTACTAGGAAAAGGTAACTTACAGTGGTTGTCAAGCACTTTCCAATACTTGCTGAAACACTTTTTTTCCAGGCTGGGGGTAGGGTTGGGATCCACTTTAGGCACCTTTGGAAGCAGCAATGTCTAATATAGATTCCCCTGAATGACTGGCTTCGTTGGTGTTGCTTCTGTTTCCTCTTCCTGAGAACAGATGAATGGGGAGTACTTGGCATAACCGTTTCCAAGACAGGTTCCTAGAATTTCAAGTGTTTAGTGGGTGAGAGTAATGTCACCTCCTAAAAAGCAGTGACATAGATGGTTGCAAAGGGAGAGACTTGCGGGTTCTGCTACAACAAGATATCATATATTCTCCCCCCCCCCCCCCTTCCAGGATATGCGACAGCGCCATCGTTACCTATGTCACTTGCCTCTCACCTGCGAGTTCAGCATCTGTGAACTGGCTCTGAAGCCACCTGTCATATCAAAGGAGACCCTAGAGACATTTTCTGGTTGGTACTTTCATTCCTTTTCCCAGCCTGTCCTGTAACCATAAAGAGTTTGGAAGAAGGGATGTCTGTTTCTGTGGCTGGGAGGGCAAATGAATAACAGGAATGTAAAAGGCTGTCTTGCTGCTCAGTCACACTAGTTCATGATGATCCTAGCTAGAATTAGGAATTGCCCTGTTCAGGTTAAGGAACTCCTCTGACTTGTCTGCAACAGGTGAGGTTTTTATTTGTGTGGATTAGACAAACAGTTTGGGAGAGAAGAGTATGGATTAGGGTGGGACACTGCACTAACTGCTTGTGGATAAGTTAATGATCATCTAGTAATAGTGTCTCCAAAACTGGAAAAAGCTTTACCAAGTATTGGCTTTTACCTGGCTTCCTATGATTTGTGACACTTAGATGACATTGAAAAGAGGAAACGCCTGCGGCAGAAAAAAGCTCGTGATGAGCGGCGTCGGGAACGCAGAATTGAGATGGAGGAGAATAAGAAGCAGGGCAAGTGTAAGTCTCACTTAACCACAACTGGTGGGTTTCTATGTCTCCAAATCCTGGGAAGATGTGAGGTTTGCAGATGAGGGGTTAATACATTAGGGTGAAGGTTGGGGGGCCTGCCATGATTAATAGGTATTCACTTGTAACCTTGCCATAAACTGGGTTTGCTGTAGCACTCTAGCACCCTTTCCTTATATGGTGAGATCATAAGTTGCACTAGCTGGGTCAAATAAGTGTTTAACAGAAACGACACAACTAACATACTTCTGAACCATGCCCAACACATTGAAGCTGAAGAATGTGGTGTGGGGCTTGCAATGGAAAGGATATACTGTATTCATGTAACTCCCAAGATTCTGTCTCTAAATCCAAACTAATCCCTTCAACTAGAAAGGTGAAGGAGGAACAAACATCTGCATAGGGATTACCTCTACTCAGCAGCAGGGCTTCTATTTGGTGGTTTTTTCTCCAGGTGGCAGTATTGTTACTTTCCCTTCAAGGAAGAGACCACTCCCAAAGCCCCTGAAACAACTTGACACTTGCACACCTGTGACCCATTACTCCATATTAAGCAATGTTCTTATTAAAAACTTTTTCTGGCTTTCTCTAGATCCCGAGGTCCACATTGCTTTAGAGAACCTGCAGCAGTTTCCTGCCTTCAGTGCTTGCTCAGGAGAACTCATCAGCAGTGATGACCAGAGCTCCTCTTTGTCCCTTCTTGGCAGAAGCTCTGTCTCTCTCACAGGTGAGCAGCTGGAAGAATGCATAGATGGATTGATGCAGTCCCTCCCTCAGGTTTTCTGACTCAGAACACCAAGCTAGACTTTCATTGCTGGCCACAGAACCTTTGGGTATTAGTGGTGAAATCCAAAAGTTCAACACCCAGAAATAGGACTAAAGTATAGATCTCCATAAGTGTTGTTGCCTATCTTCCACTATGTCTTGTCTATATCCTGGGTCTGAGCATTGCACTGCAGCCACCACTTACAAGAAGCCTCGTATTGTAGGAAAAGGAATAGCTACTTCCAAGAAATTGGACCCCCACACCCAAGGGGAGCTGGGAAGGTTTGTAAGTAACTGTACAATTCTACCTTGGGTGAACCACCATTTATTTTTCTTTTGTGTATGTAACCTGAAACATGCTACCCTTAGCACTGACTATAGGATATGTTTTCCTGTGTTTAGTCCCGAGAAGGATCAAGTCAGTGACTCCACCACCTTAGGTGTATCTCATTTTGGGGTCTCCTTTCCAGCCTTCAGAGACAGTTCTTGGTCACTTGCTCTCTAGTAAGTGTCCCTGTATAAAAACATCTTGGGACAGTCTGTATAAGAGGCTAAATAGCAGAGGGGGAAACTGAAATATCGACAAGATATGTTGAGATGAAAGCTGAAAATTATGGGCTATAATGCATTGTTTGACTTGGCTGCACCAGCTTCTTTCTCCTCCGTTGCACAAATGTGGGATTTTGCTCATGTAATTAGCTTTCCTGTTAACTGACTGAAGCTTGTCTCTGCAGAGTCTGTCTCAACTCCATTGGCAACTGCTGCCAGCCTGGCTAGCCCACCACTCTGTATCGGAAGCCTGGAAGAAGAGTCTCCCTTACCCTCCTTTGCCCAGGTAAATCCTCTTCCCTTAAAGTTACATATGGAACAGAACACCCAGCTGACTATCCTACTTGCTGTTTCCTCACTGGTCTGAAGTTTAAGACCTCCAAGCACGGTCCTAGTGGCTGCTAAGATGGGATGGTCCCTCCGCTCTTCAGTTTATCAGTGATAATGTTTGGCAAAAGACCCATAATACTGGGCAAAGTCCTGTTTTCTGGCTTGAAAGTTGTATTGTACAAAAGGCCTGGATTTCCTTACAACTTCTGGGGGTGTGGGAGGGGATGCTGACAGATAGGTCTTGGTCTGCTTTCTTATGCACACTTTTTTTTTTCCCCCCTCCCTTGGTAGATGTTGAGAGTTGGAAAAGCAAAGCCAGAAATGTGGCCCAAAGCTGCCTCTTACACAAGAGGTAAGGAAACCCTACCTCCAGTGATTATCTTGCATAATTTCAGGTGTAATGGCTAATGAATAAAAGCACTCTTGTACAACCTCAGCAACACAACTCTTCCATCATCGGTGGCCTTTCTAGAAATCTCCTTTCTTCCAGATCAGAATACCCTGGCACCTCCTGTTCCAGTGGATAGTGATGGAGAGAGTGACAACTCTGACCGTATGCCTGTGCCCAGCTTCCAGAATTCCTTTAGCCAAGCTATTGAGGCAGCCTTCCTGAAGTTGGACAAGCCGTCCACATCTGACCCCCTCTCTGGTAAGAACAAAGCAGTCTGTCACCTAAAAAATCTAACATGCAGAGCTCCCTGACACTGGGAGTCCTCCCTCCCAGTGTACAGGGGCCATAAAAGCCCCATCACTGGCTGGGCAAGTTTTCCCCCCAGTGCTGGCACTGCATAAGGCTTATGAGGTCCTCCCCAAATCCTGGTGTAGTGGTACGTTGGGGATGGAACTGTAACCTACAATACTAGAACCATTCTGAACAGTTCTAGGTTGTGGAGCTGCTCAGATGCAGCCTTATTACAGAGCTGCTCTAAGTTACAGTGGGAGTTGCACCAGCCTCCCAGAATTGTATAGGCACAGAGGTGGCTTAAAACCACCTTTGCCCCATTTCTCCCTGGACTGCACCTGAGTTGGACCTCCGAGGCACAGCACACAATTTTCTCTTGGGTATTCATCATGCACCAGCTTCTGCTGGCTTCTCCCTATGTGCAAGGATTGGTGTTATGTGGTAAGGTGGGCCTAGCTCACCCCAAAGTGTGTTTTGTGCCTCTGGCATGCCAGTGATGAATTCTGCAGCCAATTGTAGTCATATAGAAGTTTCAAACTAATTCGTATCTAGACACTTTCATTTAAATGAATGGGCATCAATTGATACACTAGTCCTTGTCCTTATGCTCAGTTTCATGCTTCCATGAAAGTTGCAGTTTATTGTGGACTCCATATTGATGACCACTGTTGTAGAACTGTTTCTGGCAGTGGGAAGGAGATGTACTTTTTGTTTTCTAACCTTTTTATGAATGGGGTTGAAGTGACCCCTTCTTTAGAGGTGAGCTAATCTATCACTTGCTACCCAATATCTGCCTGCATCCAGCAGTGTGATGGATAAGTATGTTAGTTCAGAGCTACTAGAATAACAGCAATAAGAGCAGCTCATACTGCTTGACTATTTCAAACGCGAGACCCAGAAAATAACCCATCAGATTGCATGTATTTCACCTTTGGACAACTTCCTCTGTAGCCACCATAAGGGCTAGTACTGTAGTTTTAAAAAGTCCTAAAATTCTATAGCATTGTGTGGCAAAAATTCCACAGCAATAGAAAACAAGGTCCTAGGTACCTACATTGAAACTAACCCTCCTCCCCAACCTATTAACCATTAAATGGGAAGATCACTGTAGCTGAGGAGAAATATGGCTTAGTCAAAGCCAAAAAATTTTTTATAAATCTTTTTCTTTACAGAGGAAAAGGGAGGCAAGAAAAGAAAGAAACAGAAGCAGAAGCTGCTATTTAGCACCTCAGTTGTCCACACAAAGTGATGCTGCTGTCCAAGAAAGTTCTGTCTCCTGGTTTTCATTTGCTTTTTGTTTTGCTGCTATAGTTTAAG